CCCCCTCCCCCCCACCGCACCCACTGGTGACCACCCATCTGTGTACATTTCCCATTTGCCTTTGCCTGGCTGTCCTGGAGATAGAACTACGCGGCAGGGAGCCTCGGGCGTCTGGCTCCCTTTGGTTGGCACGATCCACTGGAGATTCAGCCTGGTTGTATCAGTGCTGACTGCCAGTGTTGGCCGGGCGTTGTTGTGAGCTCACGGAAGCCTGCACGATGTCCAGTGAAGCGCATTTGGCTGGGAAGCAGGGGACTTGGGTTTGAATATCCATTTTCTGCTGTCTGTAATCACCTGCTTACACTGGGCAAGTATGGGCCTCAATGTCTCATCCAGAAAACGTGGGTGCAGGTGCGTGTTGCTGTGGCTCCTAGCTGGCTCTCCAAATCTGAGATCCAGCGCGGCTCAGAGAGCCCTGAGAGGGAAGCTCACGGCATGGTAAGAGCCCTGGGGTTGTTCTCAAACCTTCTGTATCATTGTCTGTAAGGGGCAGGTCTCTGAAACCCTGAGAAAATGTATTCCATCTTTAAGACACACACACACACACACACACACACTGAAAAATTGTGGAACTCTGAAAAACAACTCTGATTCCACCTCAATTATTGCCTATTTCAGGCAATGTGTTCTACATCTGAAATATTTTTATAATGACTCCAATTCTTCTAGATCCATTAACTGCTGGAGAGCCCGGCAACCCTCCTCCCTTCTCCTCATGATTTTCTTAAACTCCTCAGTGGCCTTAAGCCCACATCTCTCTGTTCCAGGTGGCTTCAGGGTGGACGAGCATGGGGTACCTTTGTGATTGGAACAGGGAGGGCTTGTGGAGAAGCTGTATTTGTGTCATTCATTCATTCATCCACTCACTCACTCAACTGAGCCCTGCTGATGTGTTGTCCATGCCTGGCACCTGCTGGCAGTGTTTACATGTCTTTGCTCCGCCTCTGCCCACATTTCCTTCTTAGGAAGCTCCTGAAGGACAGGATATGGTCTCTTCTGCTCAGTGCTGTCTCTGGTGCTGGGCACACAACAGCACCCTGTAAACCGTGGTCATTCACAGCAATGAACAAATGGATGAATTACCTCCCTGAGGTCCACGTGCTAATTACCACTGCTTTACAGATAAGGAAGCCGCAAGTCGGAGAGCTCTGGCACCTTGCCTGGGATCACACAGCCAGCAAATGGCATGGCGAGGACCACACCCCCATCTGTCTGACTTGTTTGCTGGGGGAACCTGGACTCCATGTGATGTGGTTAAAAGATGCTGTTGTAAAGATTGGTTGAAGGCTGGCAGGGATGAATCAGAGGCAGGAGTGGGGGTTCTAGTCTGTTCTCTGTGCTAGCTGTGTGGCTTCGGGCACATGAGCCAAGGGTGACTGTTAAACCTCCCAGCGTTAGGCTGAGGGCCAGGGGGCCTCCCCACATGAGTCAGTAGCCTGGGAGGTCAGGGCACATGGGAGACGGAGGTGGGGAGGGGAGGAGAAAGCTGGCTGCAAGCCCAGCTGTGGCAACCCAAACCAGCTGCTGGGGGCGGGGGCGATGGCACGGTGGGCAGGGGCAGGTACGTCCCCTAGACCAGGGCTTTTCAGATGCTCATGCAAGGAGTCACCTCGGGCTCTTGTTAAGACACAGAGTCTGACTCAAGACATCCAGGGTGAGGCCTGGGATGCCAACACAGTGAGTCCGCAGACCAGCCTTGAGCAAGATCCTTATGGAG